TCCGGAAACATTCGTACGCATACGCTCGCAAAAGAAAAAAATCCACTGTTACAGGACGATGAAATGTTTCGCTGAACTGACAGTCGCTCAAATTGTAGTCGACGAAATATATGTCGCTGAAACATAGCTTTCGCTAAAATTGTTAATCGCTATATTTGATAATCGATGAACTTGATAATCGCTGAATTGCCATTCGCTGAAAATGGTTCGCTCAAATGACGTTCGCTCAAATGACACTCGCTAAAGTCGCTCGCACCGCCGTGGGGCTCGTTAGAGCACCTCACGGGTCCTAAATAACCACAATAAGATCTCCATGGCCCCACGCCGGCTTCTGAGGGCCTCTTGCGGCTTTCAGGGGCCCCTAGGTAGTCTGCAAAGGCCCGTTACTGGCCTCTGAGAGTTCTTACCAGCCTATGAAGGGACAGTTCTAGGGGCATTTCCCGTCTGTGATGGTCCCACACTTATTTTTCTGAGGGCCTTATAACGGCAACAGTGAGGACCCTCATCGGCGCCTATGAGGGCCCACACCGGTGTCTCTGAGGGTTTCACACCCCCAACTCTGAGTGCCTACACCAGTGTCACAGCCAACACCTGCGCATATAAAGGTCACCAACTGACGACTTTTGAGGGCCCCACACCGGTGACTCTAAGGGCTTCACCGGCGTCTGACAGTACCATGCCGGTCTCTATGGACCCCATCGGACTTCTGCCGGCCTAAGGGCCCCTTGCCGGTCACTGAGAGCCCCCTGCCGGCTTGTAGAGGGTTTGCGCTAGCAGCTCTTTGTAAAGGCCCCATACCCGTCTGTAACCGCTCCATACCAGCGTCTATGAGGGGCTGAGGCCGAGGGCCCACAGCAACGCCTGTAGGGACCCTCACCGGCGCCTCCGAGAGAATCACACTAGCACCTCTGAGCGCCCACACCGGCACCTGCATGACGGCCCCACACCAGTGCCGGCCCGCCGGCCGCGGCCCGCAGCGGCGGGAGGAGACCCCAACGACGCGGAGCGCGGGGGAGAAGGGGGAGGGGCACGCGTCGTACTGAGGCGGCGACTCTACAATCTGACCGTCTGTCCAATACCGGACTGCTTATCGGCGCGCTCAACATTCAAAGCCTTAAGCCGAAGCTGCTCGAACTGACCGACGTGGTCAGCACTCAAGACCTCGACGTTCTCCTACTCTCCGAGACCTGGCTGCGACCCAGCACGCCCAGTCGGCTGGTTGTGCTACCCGGGTACTCACTCAGCCGTGCGGATCGTCCCGACGGCAGTGGCTACGGTGGAGTCGCCATTGCTACCAAAAACTCTATCACCTCTGTAGCGCTAAAACTCACAGTTCCGCCGTGCCGTGAGAGTCAGCTGGAATCCCAGTGGATCCTCCTAAAACTGGAGAAAGATCGTCAGCTAATTGTCTGCTCGCTCTACCGACCGCCCCGCTACTCGGACACTGCCCTACGCGCTGATTTCAACGATCTCGAGTCTCAGCTGCAACGGATCCTGATCGACCACCCCAAGGTTCCGTTTGTCATCTGCGGCGACCTAAACTGCGATTTGCTGAAACACCGGAGTTTCCGCGCGCGTATTCACCTAAGTGACTTTTTATCGGACTACTCTCTCGATCAACTTGTAACTGCACCCACGTACAGCTCCGGCTCACTCCTTGACGTATGTATTGTCAAAACCCGTGAGCTCGTGCTCGACTGTCATGTAAAACACTGTCACTTTAGCCCACACAAGTTCGTAAACGTGCTAGTTAACGTACCTAAACAGCGTAAAACTGCAACTGTCATCACAACCCGCTCAATCAACCGTGTCGATGTCGCGTCCCTAAATCATGACTTGATGTCCATCGAGTGGGACGAAGTGTTCACTGCAATGACCGTGCATGACAAATGGCAAGCTTTTCTGACTCATTTCCTACCCGTCCTAGATGACCATGCCCCTTTAAAGAACCTGACCATTAGAAACCCCACCGCTCCCCCCGTCTCAGCCTCCACCCGTGATATCATGGCCCAACGGCGCGCCGCACTACGACTGCACGGGCGGGAATCTACAGTTTATAAAGACCTGAATCGTTCAGTTCGTTCTGCCGTTCGCCGTGACCGGCGCAACGTGATTCAGCGGGAAATTAGTGAACGTGGCCCCAACAAGGTGTGGCAGGGAATCAAATCAGTCATAGCTGGTAAAAAAGAAAATAAAACAGTTCAACCCGATGTAACCGCTGACGAACTAAACTCATTTTTCGTGTCCGTCGGCCCCCGTATTGCTACCGAGATCCGAAACCAAAACACAGGTACCTATACTTACGCACGGCTCCCACGCGTCGGCGCATGCGGTTTCCAGCCCAGGCCTATCTCTCTCGGTGAGCTCGAATGCACGGTTTTCAGTATGCGGAACTCAGCCGCCTGCGGAGCGGACGGTGTGTGCATCCGCATGCTAAAAAACAGTTTCTTGGCTATTGGCAGCGTCATACAGCACATCATAAACACCTGCATCTCGAAATCTGACATCCCCGAGCAATGGAAGCATTCCATAGTCCATCCCATTTTCTAATCCGGAAACCCATCTGACCCCAGCAACTTTCGACCCATTTCTCTAGTACCAGTTATCATGAAAGTTGTTGAACGAGTCATCCAGCAGCAGCTACAACACTATCTCTCTCAAAATCACCTTTTGGCACCTAGTCAGCATGGCTTTCGACCCCAACACTCAACTGAAACAGCACTTTTGTCCGTCACCGACCGCATCCTAGCTGCCACGGACAGGGGAGACATATCTTTCCTATGCCTTATCGATCTCAGCAAATGTTTCGATGTCATAGATCATAAACTCCTTCTCGACAAACTCGCACTGTACGGCATCGAAACTCCTTGGTTTAAAGCATATCTAAAAGGTCACACACAAAGCGTTTCAATGACCGATGGACTCCAGCGCAGGGTTCTGTCACGACCACTCCCTAACACTATGGGCGTGTTTCAAGGCTCGGCCCTGGGTCCTCTTTTATTCACGATCTTCTCAAACGATTTGGCGCTTCACGCCGACGACGCATGCGTTTTCCAATATGCAGATGATACCCAGCTTCTAGTGAGTGGCCCAAAAAACAATGTAAGTGGCCTTATCTCGCGCATGGAGGCCTCACTAGAAGCACTGAACAAATGGTTCCACTCTAACGCCCTGAAGGTCAACGCGAGCAAAACGCAACTCATGATATTCGGCAGCCGTCAAAATCTAAAACACTTGCCCCCAGTCGTCGTATCGTTTCGTGACACGGAGCTGGAACCATGTGCGCAGGCAGGAAACCTCGGCGTGGTGTTTGACAGCTGTCTGACCTGGGAAGCCCATGTATCTGAGCTCAGCCGGAGGTGTATGGGTCTGCTCATCGGCCTCTCCCATGTGCGGCACTGTCTTCCCGATGGGGTCATCAAAACCATTGTCACATCTCTAGTCATCTCCCGAGTAAATTACTGCCTCTCAGTTTACGGAAATGGTACAAAAAAGAACCTGAATCGACTCCAAAAGATCTTGAACTTCGCTACTCGAGTTATTTTTGGCCGTCGCAAATTCGACCACGTCACTGACCTGCGCGAGAAACTCAACTGGATGCCGCCCGAATTTATGTACAAACTTCAAACCATGGCCACTGCACGTAAGGCGATACACTACGACGAACCGGTAGCACTTGCCTCTATGTTTGCCAAAAACCGGGACTCCTCAACCAGGAATAGAAATACACGTCAGGATAACCTTCTCCAGCTCCAGCGTCCCAGACTAGAAACCGGTAAGCGGCGTTTCAGTTACCGTGCCGCCGAGCTCCTAAACGACCTACCTCCCGACCTCTCACAGCTGCCACCCTCTAAATTCGCACGCGCTGTCAAGTCTCTGTGGAAAAACGATAGACCTTCGTGATGGCCTGAATTAGGCACTCGTCTTGTATGTATATAAGTACCTACACGGTATGTTAGAAATCGTAGCATATAGAGTCTTCCTGTGTGTGCGTGTATGTGTGTGTGTGTGTTGTTGTTCGACTGGTCTCTGTTCCTGCATGCTTATACCCGACTCAGACTCTGGGCAGTAATCGCCACGCCATGTGTGGATCGCCCATGATCGTAAATACAATACAATACAATACAATACAATACAGTGCCTCTAAAGGCCCCTTACCGGCGGCTCTGAGGGCCCTACGCCGGTGATTCTGAGGCTGCTACCGATAACCGAAGGCACCACACAAGCCCTAAGTGTCGCTGAGCTATAATCCCATACCGGCCTTCCGAGGGCGCCACGTCAGTGCACTCATTGCCCCAGCCCCTCCACCCCTTCCTCACACCCAGAGAGAACTATGTTATACCTATAGCAACGATTTTACCACCGTTGTACAGGTCTCGCGGGTTTTAGCGGTAGGTTTTGCACCTAGAAAATTTAGTGTACTTCAGGCTATATCTTCGTCGTCTTAAGCTTTTAGGTGTTGAAGATGCGATCGACTTGTTGGGTAACAAGCCGGCCATGATCGTGTAAGATGGCTTCATCGTAGATCGATTAGTTTCTGAGATATAACCGGAAATGTAAAAGTGCAAAACCTACCGCTTAATCTCGCGAGACCTGTACGTTTGATGTATTTCTCAAAGTTGACTCAAAATGGTCCAGTATAAAATCTCTGGCCTGCCAAACTTATGGCCAAGGTCAGGCCCAAACCAAAGCGAGATGACAATAGCATATGTTGTCAAATCGATACCTACTGTATCAGCAGAAACCATTCAGATGGCAAGGACTAAATGCCGTGTGTTGATGTTTAGATGTATAAAGGAACCAAGAAGAAAAGAAGTCCGGAAAAGGGAGGAAAGATCCTTTCTCGCTGCCTCAATGTTGAGGGGGCGCCGCCCCCTCGGCTCTCAAGTTGGGGGGGGGGCAAGCGCCCCCGCTGCCCCCCCCCCCCCTGTTCCCGGGTCTATGTATACTTGTGGCAATTTATTGCGGTTTTTTGACGTGACCTTTATCTGCTTTTTCAGAGGAAAGCATGCCATGGCCGTTGTGGCGTCCTATGAAGATAAGGGGTTGGTGAAGCTCGTTCGGCTATTTGTTGACAAGTTTCACCATACTGTTAATCAGGAGCTGCGAGGCAACCATATCAGGCCGCTTCCCAATACTTGGCTGGAAGACGTCTACCAGAAACACCTACCCAACATCTATAAACACGTGTCCTCATTGAGTGAGGACGAGCGCGAGGATGTTCGGCGGAGGATTTTTGGACCCCTCCAGCTTGTCGACCTGGCTGAGATGGACAGTATGACGACCCGTGGCTAGCAGCGTCGCGTGTCGCAACCATCATCAGTAACGCGCACGCTGATGCTGTCTAGCCATTATCATATCTCGGCTACAGTGCTGCGCACAAGCCCATGCTAATCTAGATCAGGGCTATAGTACCAGAGTTGAGGTATCTATATAGTTGTGTCGTCATCTACTTGTCGATGGTCCAGGTCCTTCTATTTCGCCTATTTTATACCATCGCCCATACTAAGCGACATCAGGGCTAAATCAGCATCCCAGTAAAGGCGCTGCACGTTATTATTTAGCCAGGCCCATGTTAATCGAAATCAGGGCTGGCATATCGGCACCATTAGAAAGTCGTCACCGCAAATGTCATCAATTATACGCCTCTGGTGTATGGATAATGCCCATGTTATTTAATATCCGGGCTAGTTAACCAACTGATACGTCGCCATAAATGACATCGCGACGTCGAATGTGAAAAAAACCGATCAACCAAACGGGGCTTATTGCACGTCGCCGCACTATAGTGTCGCTTGTCGCCGACAGTGACGCTGGCGGATCAACTGCCTATTGCCCCGGTTCAAAGCACACACGTGTCATCTGCGTAGCGTATTTTATCGGGAACTCGATTATTAGTCTACTATGGATTCTTCCTGATTTCTACAGGTCAGCTGTCAGGCATTTAAGAGTAAGTCTGCGTATGCGCTGTGACTTGTCGTTAAAAACCGTGAAACCCGATATTGACTCCATTTAATCGTGTTGTTATTGATTCAATAGACCGTCGTTCACCATGATGTTGATCTGTCCGTTTCAATAGATCGGTGTCCGTTTTAGGTCGCAGTGTGCACTGTTCACTGTTCGACTGTTGAAACTAGTAGGTACTATCGCATCGTGTCGTGTCGGCCCCGCCGCGGTTCAGCCCGCCCCGGTCCGCCCCAACTCCGACCCGTCGAGGGGGCTGCTGCGCGAGCCGCGGGGGCGGACCGGGGCGGCAAAGTGTAACCAGCAAATGATTTATGGCGGGGAGGGGGCGAGTAGAGAAGTGCTGTATGCATTTCACGTGTAGCAACGTCTTGCTGTCGTCGCTAATACATTTTGTCTGTATCGTTACAATGCTTGGGCGTGGTAGTGGTGATAGTTTAGGCAAACACTGAATAGCAATCTCGTCCAATTTGTAAGTAACCCGACGGGCAGAGTATAATCAACCCACGCCCCGTAGGGGGGGGGACGGCTCCCATCTCCTTTCCCGCCGATATCTCCTAAAGTAGGTACCTATTGTATTATTGTATGTAGGTATCGTCACCAAACTTGCAGAACCCCTCCGGCCATCAATTTCACCTTGCAGACATTTTTTTCTTCATATAATGGAGAGGTCGTAAAATTGACCTGACCATAGGTCACAGATAGGTGGGGCATTCCACGATAGATCGTACCACTTTTTTCCAATTTGACACCCTCATCTCTCGGAATTTGACGAGAATTGGTCTCAGGGGTAATCAGGGGCTCTGAATCCACCTGTAACAATTTCAGGCTTATCAGATAAGTATTTTTTTGAGTTATGGTGTATAACATTTTTTGGATCTTGCTTTGCAGCGCTAAGTTTGGCGGGCTGTAACTCTAAGACGGATTATTCAAATGCCAAATGTTATATAACATTGAACTTGCAATGAAACAGAGATTAATATGTATTTTTGAAAATTCGAAAAATACGCTATTTTTGATATATGACATATCGAGTTTTCTTTCATTTGTATTTTTTGGACTTTGGGACCAAATTTTTTTTAATTTTTATTTCTTTAAAAAAATATTTGGCTCATTGTTAAGAAGTATGCGAAAAATTAGGAAGGTGTTCTTTCTATAAATACGCCCGGTTATATATGACAAGATATAACCGGTTTTTCCGCGACACTACGAGCGTCTTCTCTGGGGCGGCCCCGGAGCCGGGCCGGCCTCGGCGAGCAGCGTTCGGCGGCAGCAGGCCCATGTCGTCCCCTATCTCCCTGTGTGTCCAAGTGCACAGATGACGTCACACGAAGGGGCGGAGTCGGGGGCGGAGCCTGACGCAACGGCCGCCATATTTGAATCTGTTTTATTAGAATGTATTCTATATTTTGGGTTTCAGTCAATTGTTATCGATAGTTTTATGAACGGTTAGCTGTAATATAAGTGATTTATCAAGAAAAAGCACATATCCTGCTTGCAATTTCGATTTAAGTACGACCCGCGCCTAGACTCGAACGCACGATCTTTGGATTACGGCGCAAGCATCCTAACCACTACGCTACCGCGGCGGCGTGGCGACCGGCGGAAGGGAGGCTGCGGAGGCATGGGGGCTTTTTTACGCATTTTTGGAAAATATAATGGGTTAAGTGAAAAACGCTTCTTAGATAATTCAAAGAAAAATGTCTCGGCTTTCCGATGATGTACTTAGTTTTGTGCTAGCTTTAGCAAGGTTTGTTCTACAGCGCTTCAAAAATCGCCCATTTGCATAGGACTTAAACGGGGCTCCAAGACTTGCCCCCAGATGACGTCACGAGCTGACGTCACGATCAGGTAGAATCGCCGGACGACCCTACCTGGTATATAGGGCCTTGGGCGGCAGGCGGGCGGCCGCCTGCGCCCCCGGGCGGCAAGGCCGCTAAGGCGGCGGCCTCCTCTGATTGGTGGAGCGACTCGTGTCACGTGACGGTGACGGCGCGGGGTTTGAGTGCATTTGCGCGGTCACTCTGTTCTAAGCCGCCCGGTCTGACGCAAGTCAGCAGTGTTCTCGCTCTGAAATGTTTTTGCGTTTACTGCGGTCGTGTTCAGTGGAAACTGGAAGACATCAAGGGGAGTATAAGTTCGGTTTTATATCGTTGTTATATTGATTGACGAGGATGTTTTTCCTTTCGGGTTTTTTATGTTTATTTTTACTGGTTTGTTGTTTGTTAGTTGTTTGTTTTTATTTTCGGCATGAGGTTTGGTTATTTTTGTGCTTATGTTGTGCTATCGAGGTAAGAAAGGGGTCGATGAGCAATGGGTCGGCAAATGCCTGGTATTATAGGTTCTTTGAAGGTTGGATAAAAGAATGAAACATGGACTGCTAATTTGCTTGGTGGTGTTTTTCAGATTTTGGGAGATTGGGTGTAGGTTCTTGCTATGTGTAACATAGCTGAAACTGTTTTTTTTTTCTTCTTCCCTGGAACGGAACGCCGGACTTTACCATCCTACACTCAGTGTGAGTGAAATCAGCTCATGCTTCTCGGTGTAGCAGCTCAGAGTGCACGGCCTGGCCGGCGTGGGGTTTTTGGTGGCCACGTGGTGTTGGCCGGTGGTTGGAGTTGGCAGAATTGCCGTTTTGTGGTGCCTGGTGTTGGTTGAACTGTGGTTCCCATACAGGTGAACGGTTACTGGCGTAAGGTGTGCCAGGTGGGTGTACCCCGTGGAGGTACGCCCAGGTGGGCCAGGTGGGCCTGGCCGGCGTAGGGTTTGGTGGCCACGTGGTGTTGGCCGGTGGTTGTGCAGAGAGTTGGTAGAATTGCCGTTTGGTGGTGCCTGGTATTGGTTGAACTGTGGTTCCCATACAGGTGAACGGTTACTGGCGTAAGGTGTGCCAGGTGGGCGTACCCCGTGGAGAATGAGCTGCTGGTGATGTTGGCTCTGTCCGAGCGTGTCCGAGCGGGGTTTTCATTAGTGGGTTAGGGATTGTTGATAAGGGTACCAACTACCAGGTGAGACTTGAGAGGGTAAATGGAGTTCATGCTAATGATACCCAATGCAATGGTATTGGTCTAAAATGGTATTGTTACCTGGTTAGGTTGGAGTGAAAGGTTAAGTGGGTGATATAGGTACGGAGGTGCAGAGGTGATAGTGGAAACCACTTGTGTGGTAAGTCTCGGGAGTCGGGACTAGGATATTTTAGATTAGATGGGAAATTATGTTAGGTAGTTTGGATGCACTGGCGATAATATAGTAAGTTACAGGATAGTACCCAAAGGAAGTTTTCACCCTCATATTTAAAGACTGCATTAGGTATGCCATTTTCTATAACGATGCAGTTTTATGGTAGCCCGTGATTGTTTTGCTCTCACTCTACATTGAGGTGCGAGTTAACTGTTTTCAGTTTTTTTTTATGGTAGTGGCGTTTGTGAATCGTTTTTTTTTTTGCCAGAGTAAGGTGCCTTTTTGTCGTGGTCAATAAATAGAGCATTGCCTAGGCATGCATAAGCGACATCAATCATCATGGTAATGTTGGTATGCAATATGCATATCCTGCCGATGTGTCATCGCGCGCATTGTCAGATAAATGGCTCCAGTATGTATAATCCCTCCCGATACCCTCCTTTGATACGAGCTTTCGGCTAAAAATGGTTATGTGACACAATCCGTTTTTTTCTTCCATGGCTTGGTGGGTGGTTGGCATCCGACTCTGAACGGCGACGGATCGGCACACTCGGCGGGGCCGGCCCGCTGGGCCAGAGTCTTCTTTGGCCGCTGGAGGATTTCTTCACAGCTCCCGCGTCAGCTGAGGGAGTTCCGACCCCTCCCAGCTCATCTAGCTCCAGTGGTGCTGCCCGTGCTGCCTAGCAGGTCTTACGGGACATCGTCAGGTATAGGCCAAGGTGGCCGGGGTTTTGAAAGGTACGTTGTTCCATGTATGCCGGGCCCGGTACATATCTGTTAATGGAGGTTCTAGGGGGACCCGATAGGGTAGATAGTGAACGCTTGGGCATGGGCGATATCGGCATTTTTGTGGGGATATTTGGTTCCACCAATAGGAACATGAGGGGCAATGCTGGTGGAAAGTAAGATAGTAATAAAATTCTGATAAAATCGTTACGAGGCCTGAAGGTATTAAAAAAAAAAAATGAAATCTAGTCAACTCTAAGTTCAACGTGTTTTCAACCTTGGTTTGCTGCTGCTGCTGAGGCTTGTTAAATCGTCTATAACTATATTCAAAGCAGTCTGTTTCTTTGATTTTTTTTTTCTACTTGTCGCTATAGGATATGGGATGACCTTTCTCCTGCAATCAGCAAATGAACAATACAGGTCAGGTGCTATCAATAATAGGTAAAAAGGATTTAGTCAGTATACGTTGTTAGGACTGGGGTACCCCTCGGTGTCCCTAAATTGTATTTTGGCTGGGGTGTCTGAGGAAAATTCCTGGGGGCCCGGGAACGATTTTCAAGTTGGGGGGGGGGGGGGGGGGAGGCGAGCCTAAAATACCTGACTTGATGCATATGAAACAGTGGCGTAGCTAGGGGTCTAAGGGAACACGCACTCCCCCCCCCCAATCGGGTTCACAGGGACCCTCGGGTCCGGGGGGCCCTGCGGCACCATTTGATCTGAGGCTTAACGATGGCCATATTTCGACTCGGGAGGGCCCCATTCGGCTCGTTAGAGCACCGCATGGGCCCTAAATTGCCACACTAAGATCTCCTTAAGGCCCCACTCCGGCCTCTGAGTCATGGTCCCACAATTATTTTTCTGAGGGCCCAATAACGGCAACTGTGGGGGCCCTCATCGGCGCTTATGAGGACCCACACCGGTGTCTCTGAGGGTTTCACGCCTCCAACTCTGAGTGCCTACACCAGTGCCTATTAAAGCCCTATATCGGCGGCTCTGAGAGTGAGGACTCGAATCCCTACCAAACACCTGCGCAGTGCGCATCTAGGGACCACCCACTAGTGACTTCTGAGGGCCCCACACCGGTGACAGGGGCCTCTTGCCGGTCACTGAGAACCCCCTGCCGGCTTGTAGAGGGTTCGCGTCAGCAGCTCAGGTCCCACACCAGTCTGTAACTGCTCCACACCAGCGTCTATGAGGGCCCACAGCAACGCCTGTAGGACCCTCACCGGCGCCTCTGAGAGAGTCACACTGGTGCCTCTCAGCGCCCGCACCGGCACCTGCATGACAGTCCCACACCGGTGCCTCTACGGGCCCCTTACCGGCGGCTCTAAGGGCCCTACGCCGGTGATTCTGAGGATGCTACCGATAACCGGAGGCGCCATACAGGCCCAAGGTGTCGCTGAGCTTTAATCCCTACCGGCCTTCCGTGGGCGCCACGTCAGTGCACTCATTGCCCCACACCCCTCCCTCACACCCGGAGCGGGTAAACTGTGTTATACCTATAGCAACGATTTTACCACCGTTGTACGTTATGTATTTCTCAGGGTTGGCTCAAAATGGTCCAGTATATGTATGTAAAAGCTGACCTGCCAAACTACCAATCAATCAGGCCCAAACCAGTGGGATGACAATAGCAGATATCAAATCGATACTGTATCGGCAGAAACCATTCAGATGGCAAGGAAAGGCCGTGTCCTGATAAGATATATAAAGGAAACAAGAAGGAAAGAAGTCCGGAAAAGGGAGGAAAGGTCCTTTCTCTCTGCCTCAATGTTGAGGGGGCGACGCCCCCACGGCTCAAGTTGGGGGGGGGGCAAGCACCCCCGCTGCCCCCCCCTGTTCCCGGGTCTATGAAAATTTCTCACCAAAAAGGAATAGTGTGGGGTGGAAAATTGATGGTCAAATAAGGCCTAAAAAGAGTGAAAAAGGATGCGCGGCAAAATTTCATAAAAGGCTGGTATAATGTGGGAAGTAAAATGGCTATCCATCCATGCGAACGCTTTTTCTGGGTAAAAATGGGAGTGGAAAATGGGCTATTAAAAATTGGAGGCGAGTGAACAGTGATTTTCATTTGGGTGACGTTTCCCATGCCTTAATCACAAATTTTTGGGCACTGGTACCCCTCGCCAGCATCAGGGTTGACGTCACTCACTCAGTACTGACTGAGTGTTGAGCTGTCCAGATGGTCGCAGCTCGGTTGTGGCCGCCTTGGCCGTGTTTTTTTGGCGATCTAGTGCAACCGTCGCAGAGCAAAGGGAGTATGAAATTCAGTTTTTTTTTGTGGGTTCTTTCGCTAAGAAGTATTTTTCAATAATTAATGTGTGTTCTGTATGCAATATTGCTTTTGCAAGGACGTTGATTGTTTTTTATACTTTGATGGCTGATAAAGTTCGTATGCAATTTGTTAATAATGGAGGGGTTGGTGGGATGCCTAACTGGTCCGGGTGTATGGTTAGTAAGAGGTGGAAAGTGGGCTAGTTGCGGAGTTATTTGGAGTGGTTTATGGCTGGGTATGGTTTATTTCCAGTTAAAATATTAATTTGTTCTGGGAGGGGTAGGTTAAAAAAAAAAACTCATCGGTTACAACTCATCATTTACAAACTAGGGGTCTTATTGTTTTCTTCTCTTAGATCGCTGGACTTAGCCGTTCCACACTCTGTATGGGTGAATTCAGCTCATTTTTTCACGGGATAGCGGCTCCAAGTGCAGAACCTGGCCGGGTTACGTGTTGGGTGGCCACTGATGTGGGCCAGTGCGGTTCACCAATGATGTGGTGATGGTGTTGTGAGCGGTGGTTGAATTTGTAGAGTTGTCCGGTTATGCCTGGCTATGGTTGAACCTTGGTTCCCATGCAGGTAAACGGCTACTGGCATAAGGTTTGCCATGGTGAGCGCACCCCGTGAATGGCGGGCTCAGCTATAGTGGCGTGGTGCTGTCGGAGCGATGAGTTTTAATAGTAGTTTATGGCGCTTCACTGGTCAACGTCAATTGCGCTTAGGTTATTTGGGTAAATGGGGGTTAGGTATAAAAAATGTAGGTATATGAAATAAAAAAAAAACTAAAAGAATTGTATAGTAAAAATAAAAACAAACAAACAATATAAAAAACAATTTATTGATGGCGCTTCACTGGTCAACACCAAATGTTGCCCAGGATATTTAAGTAACTGGGGGGTTTACGTATTGCTCCGGTAGGTAGGTACTTGATCACTTTAGATGGAATTTGTTATACCTTTTTGCTTTTGCTTAGAACGCTGGACATTGGCATTCTACACTCCGTTTGAGTGGATTCAGCTCATTCTTCCAAGGGGTAGCAGCTCCAAGCGCGCGACCTGGCCGGCTTAGGTGTTGAGTGGCCACTGAGGTGGGCCGGTGTTAACCGGTGGTGTTGGTGTTGAGGGTTGGGAGTTGAGTTTGTAGAGTTGTCGTTGGTTATGCCTGGCTATGGTTGAAACGTGGTTCCCATACAGGACAACTGATACTGGCGTAGGGGTTGGCGTAGTGAGCGTACCCTTTGGGAGGTGAGCTGTTTTTTGTGATGTATGGCCTTTTTCCAAGCGTTATATATTTTTTATTAATTTATTCGGAGGCGCGCTGTCAGGGGTCGCGCGCGGTCGCTGCTCCCGTTGTCGGCGTCACCGGGGGTCATTGAGTGGTTGGAATTTTAATTTTACCATACGATGTTACGAGTAATTTCTAACATTTTTATGATAGCAACCTGGTGTGTGTACTCAGGTTATGTACTCTTGTCACTCAGGACCTGCCTATGATTGGTTGGTGGGTGAGTTACTGTACCTTCTATGGGTGACATTGAGGCAGCTCGGCGTTTGGAGGCAGTAAACACCTCCAAAACGTGTCGAGCTGGGAAGCTACGGCAATTTTTACCCATATTGGCCTGTTTACAGCGTAGGGGCTGTCTGTATGCCGGTCTTTTGGTCCCTGATCAATCCGGAGCTTAGCGGGAAGGCAAGCTTGTTGCCCGTGGCGGGGGGATGCGGATACTATCAGATTTCAACAGCGTGTATTTTGGTATTCAGGTCGGGTAATTGCCCTAAACATTTGGAGAATCTTGGGATGCCCAATTCTACAAGTCCCGGATGAAGCTCGCTAGTCTGCCCGGGGGTATCCCCTTCTACAACGACCCCGAGGCAGCTCGCTAGTTTGCCCGGGGATATCCTCTCCTACAACGGCCTCGGGGCAGCTCGTTAGTCTGCCCGGGGGTGCCCCTTCTACAACGGCCTCGGGGCAGCTCGCTAGTCTGCCCGGGGGTGTCCCCTTCTACAACGACCCCGGGGCAGCTCGCTAGTCTGCCCGGGGGGGGGGTGTCCCCTTCTACAACGGCCTCGGGGCAGCTCGCTAGTCTGCCCGGGGGTGTCCCCTTCTACGAACCCGGGACAGCTCGCTAGTCTGCCCGGGGGTGTCCCTTTCACAACGGCCTCTGGGCAGCTCGCTAGTCTGCCCGGGGGTGTCCCCTTCTACAAAGGCATCGGAGCAGCTCGCTAGTCTGCCCGGGGGTGTCCCCTTCTACAACGACCCCGGGGCAGCTCGCTAGTCTGCCCGGGGGTGTCCCCTTCTACGACCCCGGGACAGCTCGCTAGTCTGCCTGGGGGTGTCCTTCACAACGGCCTCGGGGCAGCTCGCTAGTCTACCCGGGGGTGCCCCCTTCTACAACGGCCTCGGGGCGGCTCGCTAGTCTGCCCGCGGGCGTCCCCTCCTGCAACAGCCTCGGGTGTAGCTCGCTAGTCGCAAGTCTGCCCGTGGTAGTCCCCTTCTTCAACGGCCTCTGGGCAGCTCTCTAGTTTGCCGGGGATGTGTTTTTCTACAACGGCCTCGGGGCGGCTTGCTCGTCTGCTCGTTGGTGGCTGCCGCCAGGACGCCGGTAGCGCAGGCGTCATTCCGGCGGTTTTGAATGTGGATGCCGGCGGGCGTTGAGAGCTCTCCCCTTTTGCTGGTCGGCTATCTATGACCTGATTACCTATAGTTTCGTGGTCACTGTTTTAACCTTTGCAAAGTTTTAGGTAACATTCATGGTCGTTATCATTGCCACGCATATCACAGGGATTAAGGTACACGTAACGGTAACTGTGGCCTCTGTTGTCAGTTGCCTAACAACCATTGGGTTACCATGCTTTTTTGGGGGGACGGCGCCAAAATAATAACAATAATAACAATAATAATGACAATAATAACAATAATAATGACAATAATAATAACAATAATAACAATAATAACAATAATAATTAACATTAGCAATAATAAAAGAAAGAAGCAGCTCGCTAGTCTGCCCGGGGAAGCCGTTTCTCACGGCCCCTGGTGCTGCTCGGGATGCTCCCTTCTTCCACCTTCTACAACGGCCGCGGGGCGGCTCGCTAGTCTACCCGTAGGTGGCTGCCGCTAGGACGCCCGGTAGCGCGGGTGTCCTTACGGCGGCTTAGAGCGCTGATTCCTGGAGCGGGCCGAGAG